GCTACTTTGGTGTAGTGGTTAAAGACTAGGAGATGGAATGCTGTTCCTGCATTGGTCACAAAGCCAGCTTGCTGATCTTGGGCTTCTCACCTTTCTCATCCTCAAGAAGAACGAGCTGGTAAACCACTTCTGAAATACGCTGCTGAAAAAAGGGCAGGGGGCAATTGTCAGGAGTCAAAACTGACTTGAAGGCACTCCCCCACAATCACTTTTGTGCTGCTGGTGACTGCCAAACACCTGATCAGCATGCAGGGAATCCAGACACAAATTCGGCAGCAGCCCCCCCCGCAAGCCACTTGGGCAGAGTCCTGAAGTGAGACCCATTTCATTCATCTGGCAATCATCTAGAAGACTGATGTTCTTGCTGTTGATATGCTAAAAAGAGATGAAAGCAAAACCAGGAGGAAAAAAAACACTTAGCATGCTTGTAGCAATAAGCAACAAGGTATGGTAAGAATATTCACTGACTTAAAACAGAGGCAATAGAAGTAGGCTAGGTATTCGTAACATGGGCAACAAATTTAATGGGCTCCATTGTTTTGTGCTGACACAAGGATGTGAGTGGGCACCTTAACTCAGAGATAGGGGGAAAACCCTAAATGGCCTTAATCCCAACAATGAATGTTACATGGATCTTTCTAAATGCATAGCATTGGCCCCTTCAGTAGGCTGGCTGATCAGTGATTTTGAAAGAAGTATGGTTGTGTTTTTGGAATGTTCAGAAAACAGTTTCTAGATTAAAACACCTGGTAGATAACAGCAACATCTTCTTTTACCTCAGTGTTCACTGAGATTGGACAGGTTGGGACAACTAATAGGTAGGAAATCTAAGCAATGTCATCTCCAAGCCTTATTTGCAGGGGGGTGGGTGGTATTCTTAGTCTTCCCCCTTTCATGTAATGTTTACCACTTTATCTCTCCTTCTCTTTCTTCTTTTCCTTTTCCTTCTCCACTCCTGGAGAAGTTCCTTCAATTTTTCTCCAAAAAAAAAAAAATTTCATTTGCCATTGCCTCCTTTTGAGGGCTGAGAGAGAAGGACTGGCTCAAGATCACCCAGCTGACTTCATTCCTGTCATAGGACTAGAACTCACAACCTCCTGTTTTCTAGCCTGGTGCCTTCACCACTAGACCAAACATATACCAAATGTCCCTCTATAATTTGCATTTTGTCAGTAAATATAACCCCCTGTGGCCATCAGCTGCCACTTACTGCTGTTCTTGTATGACTTTCTTTCCTTGGCATCAAGGCTAACAAACAAATCATGGATGAAAGGAACAATATTATGCTCTCCTTGGGTCTGTTGCATTTCAAAACCATTTGCTCTGACAAAGCAAGCAAGGCTTCTTATGCTCGTTTGACAAGCAGAGGAACTAAACAGGGGAAACAGAATCCTGCCCATTCAGCCTCCAATGTCACTTCGAAGGAACCATCAATTGATCAAAACATCAACTCATAATAATCGTTCCAAGGCTTGGTCAGGGAAGAGATGAGAAATTCAGATTCTTCAAAGCACGCAGAGATTCCTGAGGCAAATGTGCTCCCTTCGTTTGAGCAGGTCCAAATGCTTTCATAAAGTAGGGCACGGGCACAGGCACATGCCAGCATTTAACAAAGATAGCACAAGTGGATGCCTGCCCTGCCTTAGGAAACGCAAGAAGTGGCAATTTACCCAAAAGTAGGGCAGCTCAACTCAAACGGAGGATTTGATTCTCTTTCCCATTGTTGCTAGGAGGAAGGGAGGGGAGCTGAATGGAAGCAGGGGAGAAAGAAAAAGAGAGCAAGCGAAAATGGGAAGATACAGCATACAGTGATTCAGGAAAAACTTTTCCTTCTATATGAGTACTTATTGTCATGTGAATAGAAAAAGGGTATGTTCCTGATTGTTAAATATAGTTGAGAACCCAGCAAAGTGCTTTGCTACCTTCTATGTTCCCATTAGCGACCCTTTGATAAAACTCCGTGCAGCCCCTACGAACATTTCATGCTGACCTTCCTCTTTGAGAAGATTGCTAAAAATATGGAGAAAAGAGCAGCTGGACCAAGGTGGTCTATTTAGAGCTTGATCGATATGGTGAGACTCAGAAGCTGCAGCAGGCCCCAAAGTCCTAAGGTGCATTAGATAGGAGCGCATGGCATTGATCTGGGGAATACTGCTCCAGATGTTCTCCAGGTGACCTCCTGAGCCCGAGACAAAGGGTGAATTCATTTAAAAGGGTCGTATGGCTAGCCAGCTAGAAAAGCACAGAATAGCTTTTGAAATAATACGCTAAGTATTTTGGGGGGAGGGGGGGATTACAATAAAAGAAAGCACCAAAACAGAAATTCCTTTTGGAGACAAACACTCAAGGACAGCAATGAATTAGCAAGAACTTTGGGAGGCATAGCCCAGCACTTCTGGAAGACGTATGGTCAAGCTGCTGTTTCCTTTGAGAATAGCTTCTAGCAAGCCAGAGATTCACTATTCCTATTTCAAGACAAAATATCTATGCTTGGGTAATGGTTCTTCTAAGATATAATGTGACAATAATATAATGATTTTATTTTATAATTATTTCATTCACTACACACTATCAAGTAATGGTTTCATTTTGTCTGTTCTGTGATTTTATATTTTATGATTTTAATGTTTTTAATATTTATTATGCTGTAATGCATTCAGAGTCATTTGAAATGAGATGGCTGGCAAATAAATACAATACAATACAATACAATACAACACAATAAAACACAATACAATATGTAAGTAAGTAAGTAGTTTATGGTTCTGGTTTAGCTCTGGTTTGTAAATCATGCCTGTGTCTTTGCATGGTATGCCATATCAACTATAATTGGGGCTGCCCTTGAAGACCATTGAGAAGCTACAGTCCAGAATACAGTGGAATGGGCTGCAATGAGCGTGCCATGTTATGCTCATGAGTTCTGCTGCTTTGTGAGCGCCACTGATTGTTAGTGGCTTATGGATGCAGTTCTATCTAGAGAACTTAGGTCCTGATTATTTGAGGGACTGTCTATCTCCATCAGATTCTGTCCATCCAATATGATTGGATAAAATGGTCATGCTTCAATTAAACCAAGCCATATACAGTATTAGGAACTTCTCTATTGTAGCACCTGCCTTCTAGAACAGCGTTTTTGATTAACTTTTCCAGGATCTTCCCAGGTATTGATGTTAGACTGATTCATTTGTAGTTTCCTGGGTTTGTTTATTTTCCTTTCTTGAAGATGGGAACCACATCAGCTCTTTTCCAATCCTCAGGTATTTCCCCGGTACTCCAGGGTTTTTGAAAGATGTGGTACAATGGTTCTAAGATAACACCTGCCAGCTCCTTCAGAACTCTGGGATGTAATCTGTCAGGTCCCAGTGATTTATATTCATCAAGGTGAGATAGTTGTTCTCTTACCATTTTCTTGTTTATTTTAATTTTTATTTCTAGTCTGTCTTTTACAGTAGTTTTTTTTTATAGGTTGGCCTATAGTTTCTTTTTGCATGAAGACTGATGCAAAGAATGAGTTAAGCAGCTCTGCTTTCTCCCTACTGCCTGTGGACCAACTGTTTAGTGGACCAACTGTTTAGTGGACCAACTGTTTCCTTGACTTTTTTTTTATTGTATTAATATGTTTTTTTTTATTATCTTTGCCTTTTGTTGCAAGTCTTTGTTTATTCTGCTGATATTCTGCCTTAGTTATGTGTCTGTTTTCCAGTTTTTGTACTTCTCCTTTTTGTCTTTCAGTTTATCAGCGATATCTTTGTGCAGTCATGTTGGTTTCTTCTTGAATTTCTTGCTTTTATTTTTCAGTGGTATTGTATTGGGCTGGGCTTTTATGATTGCATTTTTCAGAGTTTCCCATGCTTCTTGAATTGTTTTCCCTTTAGGATTTTCATCCATGGAGTTTGTTAAAATCAGCTCTTTTAAAGTTTAAGACACTGGTTGGCGCGGCTCTGCTGCTGCTATTCTTCACCGATTCTGCCACCACCAATTTCTCACAGCCACCAATTGTTCACTTTGTTGGATGGGTTGCTCCAGGCCCTTTGCCTCAGACGGATCACTGGGAAGGCCTACCAGGCTAGCAGGAGGCAAGAGGGACTGCTGATCTCGCTGGGGAGGGAATGCTGATCATGTCCCCCACAAGTCCACCTGGGCAGGTCACTGGGGCGGGTTGCCAGGCTGGAAGGCCGCAGAGGTAGGGCTGCTTAGTTGGGCTGCCTCTAGCCCTGGATAGGGATGCCTGGCTGTCCCCCTCGAGCCGGGCTGCCTACGTTTGAGTAGGGAGTCTAGGCAATTACTAAATATACTGTGAGCCACAGGTTCGCTGCCTCCAACAGCCTCCCTTCTTGTTCTCCGTTCAGCCTCCGGTTTGCTGCTCTCAGTTGCCTCTTTTTCCACCGTTGGGCTGGTTAAGTGGACTCCTGAGCCGGATGTATGTTGCCCGCTGCCTTCGACTCAGCGTGCAAGCCATTCATTGCTGCGCTGCTGTTTTGCTGGTGTTTTCCTCCTTTAACACCCACCCCCAATTTTTATTTTCCTTTATTCTTTGTTATCTAACTTTCTGCTCCTTTTTTCTCCCTCCCCTCCTTATACCTTCCTACTTAATTTAGTCACTTCTCTCCCCGCGATCTGATGCTGCTTCCGCTGTACCATAAATCTACAATAAGGTTGGAAGCCAGTAAGTGTTTCTGGAGATCGGGCGCCCATCCTACGAATCTGGGGGCTGGGCTTGGCGGTCTTTGCAATGAAAACAGCGCAACTCATAATTTAATTCATTTCATTTACAAACACGGGTGGAAAAATGCAGGAACGCCGCTCTCAAACGCTACCCCACCCCCACCTCTTCTGCGGTCCTTCCGTAGCCTAGAAACGAGAGAAGCCCCGCCCCTGCCATCCCGCCCTCCAGAGCATCCCTCGAGAGCCTCGCCTCCTCTGCGGCCTGCGCGCTTGCGCGGTTTCCATAGCGACCGGTATATACAACCGCTAAGCCACTGTAAGTGCCCGGCGGCGACATGGCGACTGTCCCGAACGAAAAAGCGGAGTCGGCGGACGAGTTGGAGGGCCTTCAGCTTCAGGCGATCATTGGCTTCAATGGTACCGGGGGCAGAGAGGGAAAGACCGGGATGGCAACCTGGGAAGTCACGGTACTTCCTTGCTGTGAGAAAAGCCCCCTCCCGTCCTGCCCGTTAGGAACTCCACGGAAAGTTGCTCTCTGTAAATTGCCCGACATAAAGCAAAAGAACTCTGCCCATGCTCAAGTGTTCCCTCTTCCGTATTCATATGTTGCGCTGGTGGGCTGCAATTGTCCAAACTGTTTTTTGGGCTGTACCAGAGAAGGACTTCATGGACGGAATCTAACATAAATACCTGTGCATTAAATAGTTCGTATTCCGTTACAGGGGGAAGGATTGAAAAATCAGAGTTTCAGTTTGACGTGGGGCTGTAAAGAGCCGGACTGTAAAGTTTACCTTGACTATAGCTCAAAACAAGCCAAATCTCAGTGCCTCTTTAAATTAATGGCCACCCTCCCTGTGATTATTCTGAGGCTTCTTGCTGTGATTTAATTCTTAAGAAATGAATTGTTTCAATATTATTACCTTGCTTTCAAAAGGTTAAAGAAAAGACACAATTTAAGCACATCAATAATAATGATGATGCAAATTTATTTTGGTTCTTTTGTATAGATCTTTTGTAGTGTTTTAAGCTTGGTAGGTTACTAACCACATATTGTATCGGAGATTTTGGGTTCTTGATAGTACTGTAGAAGTCATTTAAACTTGCTGCCTTTTCATTCAAATTCCTTTTGCAACCCTGTGCAAAATTTGTTATGGTTAAAGACTTGGAAAAAATAAACCTTTATTTTTAGGTTTTGCACTTTTTTTTTAAGCTGAAAGGCTTAAAAAGGGTTCCTTGTACTGTGCCACCTTGCTAGAGTATAAAATCTTAGGGAGACATAACTGTGGAAACTCAAATAGCTATCTCTTCTACATAAGGAGTACTTCATATACTGAACCAAAAAAAGGATAATATTTAGAACTTTATGTAGTCTATGGTGAGGAAAGGTTGATTGGGACGATAGTCAACATTTGGAGTAGGAAGTTTGAGTATCTATACTGCATTATTTAATACAATAATTACATTGAGGCTGAAGACATGTAATGGAATATCAGTTTTTTTCTCAGAACTACTATTCATTTTATAGTGAAAAATAATATTTTTAACAAATGTAAAACAGCTAAGAACCAAATCTTATTGATTCCCAGATCTCTGCGGTAGAGAAAGTAGATTTTGAGCAGTCTATATGAATGAAAAAGATCTGAACACAAAGTTCTGCCTTAAAAGTTAACATGATCTATTATCTAATGTTTATATAAGAGATAGCAAAATGGGTTCCAATCAGAGTATCAAAAAACAGAAAGCATTAGCAAGTAATGGAGGAGCCACTAATAAAAAAAATGGAGAGCAGTAAAGTATCTTGATGAATTGCATGAATAAATATCTTGCTGCTTCTGTGAGTGGGAAACCACTTTAATTTTCTAAAACTTTCACCCCATAAATACTCGATTATAGCATGTAACTAGATAACTTGTGATCTCTGGATCATCATTTCAAAAACATTTCTTTACCAGATTCTCAATGCCTTCAACAATGACGGAGTACTGATATGCTACATTCTCTGAAAATATTGTTAAAATTCAGGGAGACATTCATCTCTGCCTTGAAAGTAACCCATGAACTGTATAGTATGGTCAAACCTGAGAAGCTGACCACACCAATTTTTTTTAGTCACTTTGTATTATGTCATAAAATGCTTTACGATAATATTTACATCATAAAATTTGCATAATTTCAATTCCATGAGAATTATGGGTCCTGGGTTTTGGATGCGTTCTGTAAGTTAGCCTACTTGAGGTACCTTGGTAGGAATTACTTTGCCCTCTGATCCACCCTTTTGACCAGTTAAAGATTACCAACACAAGAGTTTTCATATGTTTAAGATGTTGGTTGTTCTTCCTCTAGTAACATAATAATCATTGTATTTCTTTTGTTTTCAGGACATGTTCCCTTTGGCCTCATCTGCCATCCAGATCGAGAGCATCTTATCTATCCACTGGGTTGCACAGTAATTATCCAAAGCATAAACACTCCGGGTCAAGATTTTTTACATGGCCACACCAACAATGTCTCCTGTGTCACAGTTTCTCCAAGTGGAAGTTATGTGGCTTCTGGTCAGATCACATTCATGGGCTTTAAGGTGGATAAAAGCTTCCTTTAAAAATTATTTGATTCCTAAATGATGATTCTGTTTAAACAGGGAAAATATGATCTTTTAAAGCCTGATCTTTCAACTCTGATTAACTCTTTATACTTCAAGTTATGTCTATAGGTTTAGGTCTCACACTATTACAACCACAGGTAGTTCTCACTTAGTGATGGTAATTAAAGCTGGCATGTCTGTAGCTAAGCCACGTGATTATAAAGTGTAATCATGTGATCATACTGCTTAGCAATAAAAATTCTGGCACTTTCTATTGTCATCGTTAAGTGAATCATTGCTGGTCGTTAAGCAAGGACATCATGTTGTTGCCAACATTTGCATCGTCCTGCCAGCTTCCCCATTGACTTTGCTTGTGGGAAGCAGCAAAGAAAATTACAAATGGCAACTGTGACGCTGTGACCAACATTGTTGCAAGGATCACTTGTTACTACTATTCATTCAGGGCCTTCGTATGTTTGGGCACTGAACAAGTGGTGATTCAGCAAGGATCGCCTGCAGAATATTCCTGAGAAATCCTGCTGCGTTATTTATATATAGACTGATAGGGTCAGGCTATTGTTGGACTTTAGATAAGACGTTGTAATTATCTAAATATAAATTAGATTATTAGTTTCAAATAGTATTTTGCAGAGAAAGCATAACAGTTGAAAAGGGCCAATGGCTGATTTAAAAAGGAATTCAGCATATTTTGACTGGGATTTTACTCTTATGACAAGTAGATCTGAAATTTGGGGTGTTGTTCCCTTATTTTCACCTGTTTCTGGCCAGTGATAACAGTGGGAAGAAGCATTTTTTCATGTTACAGTTAATGTGACAACTGCAATTGTTCCTGAGTTGGTCAGATTCACCTACAATTAATCCATGCCTTGAGTAGGTAATTACTAAAGGTAGTCTTCATCTTACAATCATGCATTTAGTGACTGTTCAAAGTTGCAGCAGCACTGAAAAATGTGATTTATGACCAGTCCTCCCACTTACAACTGTCGCAGCATCCCCATGGTTACGTGATCAACATTTTTAGTTCTTTCTAACTGGAATATATTTATGATAGTTGCAGCATCTGGGGGTCATGTGATCACCATTTGTGACTTTCCCGGCATGCTTCCAACAGGCAAAGTCAGTGAAACTGGGTTCACTTAACAATTGCTGCAATTCTCTTAACAACCTTGGAAAAAAAGGTAAAATTGGGTGTAACTCACTTACCAACCACCTTGCTTAGCAGTGGTAAGCCTGGTCCCAGCTGTAAGTTGAGGACTATGTCAACTCATCCTGACAGACTACTTATAATACATTATTATAATATATTTTATAGATGGTTATTCCTGAAGGGTATCTAAAAGGTCCAATTAATGCAAAATGTGGCAGCCAGTTTTTAATTTGTACACAGCACCAGAATGATATTATATCTTAGTCTTCACCACTTACTTTCTGGACACAGTTCAAGGTATTGCTTTTACCTCTTAAAACTTGAAGCAACTTGGCTCTAACTAACTGGGGAATAGCATCTCTTTTATGTAAACCTATACAACAATACATTCAACAACAGATTTTCTTTAAAATTACCCCATTTTTAGAAACCTGAAAGAATGGTCCCTTTTCAGTATAGTATAGCTAAGCACATCCTGGAACACCTTTCCTGGGAAATAGAATTTTATCTCTCCCACCTCCAGTTTAGAAAAGGAGAAATGACTGCCTTCTGAACAGTGTCTTTTATGGATCTATTAGATGGAGAGGCAGGTTTAGTTCAATATGAATTGCTTCATAGTGTAGGGTTGGCATGACTTTGAGCAAATCATTTTAAGAGGTTTTGATTTAGTAGCCAATAATGCTTTGTCACTTTTTCTGTACCCATCTGGATAGAAGAATAGGTAGTACGGCAGTATTTAATGGTGTGGGTAGATCACATCATGCCCTTCGATTGCCTTGTATTAATACATTATTTTTGATGCTGCTATTTGTCTCAGAAATGGGATATGCTTGGCTAAGTTATACTTCCATTTGAGCTTTTCTGTCTCAATAAAACTAACCATACAAAAGCCTGCCCGAAATGATATATGGGAAGAAAAACAGCTTTATGGCCTTTAAACCTAGAGTTTGGGATCCAAATAGCTTTTCTGTAACAAACTTGAGGTTTTTTTTCCAAGTGATGTTTTTAGATTGCATATTTATATTTTTAACCCAGGCTGATATCATTTTATGGGACTACAGCAAAAAGGAGATGTTGTCTCGGCTGTCACTTCACAAAGGTAAAATTGAACATCTGGCATTTTCTCCAAATGATCTTTACCTGATTTCACTGGGAGGCCAAGATGATGGGAGGTAAGACTCCTTTAAAAGTATGTTGCTTTCTCTTTTCTCTTTTTTCTTAAAAAGTCAGAAATCAGATACAAAGAAGACCACTGCCCTGTTTTGAATCAAAGAAAAGATCTAGTTATGTTTCTCCCTCTCCTTCGTGATTCCCTCGCTGTGGAGTTTCACCTCTCAAATTTTGTTGGGGATAATGTTAACATCTTTCCCAAATCATGCCTTTTTCTGAAGATCAATGTAACAGTGCTATGCAAAACATTTTATTTTATGCTCAATTTCCAAAATGTTCTGGAGGGAAAAAACTTCAAAAGGCCAATATAGCTTATTTTTCACTTGAAACAGCAATTTTGCAGAGAAGGTAGGACATCATGCTCAAAATAAAACAAAAAAAAGTTTTATGCATCCCCAATATATGGGCATTGGAGGAAAACGGCATAAGGTATTGTGCCATTTGTAGGTTTCTTATTGCATATACAGTAGCAGACATTTCCATTGTCAGAATCATTTACAGCTTTCTGTCTCTTCCTACGTATTCCAAGGGAACGTGCAAAATAATAGGATTACAGGTAATCCTTGCTTACTGATTGCTCTGTTTAGCATCTATTCAAAGTTATGACAATTTTAAAAAATGGCTTTGCAACCAATTCTTGCATTTAGGGCCATCACGGTGTCTCTTGGCCATGTAATCACAATTTGCAAACTTTCAACTAGCAAAATTAACAGAGAATGTGGAAGTGAAATCGCAAGTCGTCGTCATGTAATGTCTTGCTTAACAACTATGGACAATGATGTGAAAGTGACAATGATGTGAAAGTGACTCTGTAAGTCTGGCACAGTTACATGATTTTACACTTAGTGACAGTTGCCAGTTCTAATTGTGATTGGTAAAGTGAGAACTACCTGTAATGATCAAAGAACCACTACTAACTCTAATCAGTTGAAGAGACAAAGCAAATCAGCAAGATTGTTGATTTGTAACTGTAGAATGATGCAGAAAGTTTGAAGTGCGATTCCATCATTTAGGAACAGCGTGATGCATCTTTTAGTGATTTTTGCCTGGTCTTTGTAGCCTTTGAGAAGCATAATATATTTTTCTCTGTATATCTTTTGCCTCTGTATCTCTCTTTCCCATTAAGTTTGCAATTCATGAGGAAAAATTGTGAATTTCTGAGAGAAAGAAGACAATACCATTCTTAAAGATTAAACACAAATAGGCAAGCTTACTTAGCTGAATGCAACTTACCAGCTATATTTTGTGCTATACTAGATATTCTATAACCTGAACCGTGAAAATGAGAAGATTGTTAGAATTGTGTTTGGTTTGTTGAGTTATGAGTTGTATGGACTTGGTAGGTACATTTATTTTGTACACCATGCTTATTACCAAGAACAGTATTTCTGTATATAAGATGCATGTCATTTGAAACAAAAAGCAAATAAATAACATATTGCATTATTTTGGTCTGGATATAGTGAAGTGAAGTAATGAAAATATATGTCCTGTATTGACTTCAATTTAATAATGGAAAATACTTTTTTTTTTTGCAGCGTGCTTATTCAAAAACATGGATAAGTTATCAATATTCTCCATGTTTTTGCTGGCATATTTAATCTTTGAACTGGGTTATAAATTCTATGAACAAAAGATTGTGTTACTGCATGACATGCCAGGGAACAGCGCAGATGAGATTTATTCCCATCCAATAATTTTATAACAACAAGATTTAACTTGGGGGAAATGCTGCATTGTATTTTCAGTGTACAAATGTCAGTTACTTTAAATCAACCACATGCCTATCAACGAATCAGTTCAACCAAATATTGGATGTGGCCTCACAAAGCCCCATCTTTATTATAAAGCATAGATGAGAGGTGTTCTCCTGGGTTCTCCTAAGCCACTCTGTTGATGATCATATAAACTTTTCCTTGAAGTCTTCTGCACTGGTTTATAGTACCCAACTTCTGTTTGCTGGGGATAAATACCCCAGATGCTTTTGTAGTAGCAACTGGAAGCAGTGTGAAATTGTGATTGGTTTCTTTTCTGCAAAGGATTTAATTGCATTGGGAACCAATCTTTATTGGATGGGAGAGACCTATTCCCCCCCCCCCCACCTCAACTACTTGAAAAGTTAAATGCATGAGAGATGGCGATCAAAATAAATTCACATCCCATTATTCTTTTGGACCATCTTTGTTTCTTGAGGAAAATTCATTGACCATCTCACATAAATTGGGAATGTATTGTGTATCCAAAATTCATGTGACATATATGATAAGCTACTCATTGGTTCTTGAAGCCAACTATAAATACTGTTTTATTTCTGCAGTTTAGCTAGTGTGAGGTGTTCACCTTTCACCAAACTCTCAACTAAGCAATTAAGGCTTACTGTGTTGAATGAATAAGTCATTAGATTGGCATGAAATGAATGTGCAATTGAAGAGTTATAATAATTTCTACTCCCTTCTTCTTTTTCCATGCAGTCAGTTTTCTCGCCTCTCATTGGGTAGGCGAGACAATTCATTTGATTTGGAAAACTTAATAAAGGTTCATAAAAGGAGGACTGGAAAGTGGGTTGAAATTAAAATCCCACAGAAGCGCTTCTAGACCTCTTTAATGTTTGCATAGTAACTAAACCCAATATAGCTACAACTGTGTTTATTTGGGAGAAATGCTTCTCGAAGCAAAATCATATCAAGTTCAAAATAACTATTCAGTGAAGACAGTTAAATCTCTTGCTCTTCTGACAGCATTGTGGTGTGGAGTGTCCAAAAGAAAGAAGCCATCTGTGGTAGTCCTGCTTCTGCTCGTAGTGCTGGGAACCCAAGCACACTGGTATATTCTAACTGCAAGGATGAGATGTTCATCAGTGCAGGAAAGTATGACTTTGTTTTTGAGGAAAGGCTATTGAATTCATTTCTTTAAAATGGTACTGTTCCTCTTAATTGCATTGTCCCCAAATTACTTACAGGTAGTCCTTGATTTATGATGGTCGCTTAGCGACTCTTTGAAGTTATGATGGACACCTCCCAAGAGGTACTTGTAACCTGGTTCCGAAGTTCCAATGGATGGCCTTCCCCCAGGGTCACAGGACCGCATTTTGGGTGCTCAGCAACTGGGCTACAGTTAATAGCAATAGCAATAGCACTTAGACTTATATACCACTTTATAGAGCTTTACAGCCCTCTCTAAGCAGTTTACAGTGTCAGCATATTGCCCCCAACAATTTGGGTTCTCATTTTACCCACCTCGGAAGGATGGAAGGCTGAGTCAACCTGGAGCCTGGTGGGATTTGAACTGCCAAATTTTAGGCAGCTGGCTGCAGAAGTAGCTTGCAGTACTGCACTCTAACAACTGCGCCACAGAGGCTCCTGTGATTTAATAACTGTGGTTTACAAAGTTTTTGCCCAAAACCAACATTTCTGGTTTTCTGCAAGAATGTCCCATAGCAAACATTGAGTTTGCTTAATGACTGCTGATTCACTTAACAACCACTGGGTAAAAAAGTGATAAAATTGAGTTGGTCATGTGATTACTCAGCCTTATGACTGTCATGACTTACAACTGTAATGAGCAAGCTCCATTATGCTCATAAGTTGTGGACTACCTGCAATGGAAATATATATTAAACCAAAGACATCCATGCTTTTTTCTTCAGAATTGCTAGACAGTAAATGCACTTCTGAATGTCCAGCAGGATAATTGAGTGGACTCTCTGAGCATGCAGATCTGAAGGGAAAGTGCTTCAGAAGGCGGGGGGGGGCAAGGGGAGGGTTGGTATGACTGTAGCACTTACTTGTAACTCCCTAAAGCAGCAGTCCCTTTTCCTAGGAACATCTGTCCAGCTGCTGTGAAATTGCAATGGCTGCTATGTTTATGTCAAAATACCTTTTTGCCTTTGCATTGTTTTGGATTTACAGCACTACTTAGAACTTCCCAGATCTGTTTTTCTGAACAACTATTTTTAAAAAGTGAAATTCTCAAATGATACGATTAATGAGAAGAGTTTACCTTAAGAGTTCTGGAATGTTTATGCTGAAACCTCTGCAAAACAAAAATCATGAAAAAATTGCTCCACTCCATGGCATTCTATTTTGGGAAGAAAGTTGTCTTTTACCATTCCTAGTGTGCCATCATCAGCTTTAGTAACCTTTGCTTCCTTTGGGGTTTGTTGTATCTGAATGATTCCTACTTACATACGACTAATTGAACAAAGCTCCCATCAAAAATATTGTAGCTTGCTAGTGCTCAATACTGGTAGTCCTCATTTAGCAATTATCTTATACAGTAACTGCTTACGGTTATGACGGTGATGAAAAATTAACTTTGCCACTCATTCTCACATTTATGACCTTCCAAATTCTGTAAAATGAAGGAAAGCTGAAGTGAGATCATAATCATGGTTTCACTTAGCATCCGCTTTGCTTAATGACTGAGTTGGTAGCCACAATTGTGGTCACTAAATGAGAACTACCAGTGCTGTAGTTAGGAGATATTTCACTTTTTCCCAAACTGCTTTAATCGATCACGTCATGAAGCTACTTTACTCCCAGAAATAGAATAAAAAATATTTAGGTTACCACACAATCTCTTGACATATAGCAAGTTGTCAGTTACTTTCCTGACTTTGGTAGTCCAGAAGAGAAACAGCAAGTGCATCTCTAGTTCTGCAACAAAGTGTTTTGTGTGATATAAATCTATCTTGAGTTAATAATGAAATACATGCTTTGGCTTCAGTGGAACTATTCGAGTATGGGAACTGGATTTACCCAACAGAAAAATCCGACCAACTGAGTGTCAAACAGGACAGCTGAAAAGAGTAGTTGCTTGTGCCATGGTAAGATATCTACTGATCTGTGATTTATAGTATGTGTAAAAATTGAGTCAGGTAAGCAAAAAAAAAATTGATAGAAGATCTACTTAGTTTGGGCAAAGTGCATTTGAGTTTAAACATCTAATTTAGTAGGATGTGTCCAAAGCCATATACTGTCACCTCCCTCTTAGACACAATTCAGATCTTTGGAGGGAGGTCCCATAACTAACCGTAGCACCAATAAGAATCAACAAAAGTAACAGACTCCACAATAGCAATATGACTTAGACTGATATATCACCCCATAATGTTTTACAGCCCTCTCTATGTGGTTTACAGAATCAGCATATTGCCCTCAACAATCTGGATCCTCATTTTATTGACCTCGGAAGGATGGATCGCTGAACCAGTCAGGATTGAATTCTTGGCTGTGGGCAGAGTCAGCCTAAAATACTGCATTCTAACCACTGAGCCAACATGACTCCATTTTGAAATGATTATTACAAATACATTTTGAAATGATTATTCTGGAAGATATAACTGCAGAGTCAAGGGACTTGGTATATCCTAGGAGGCACATTTAATTCTATGCCTCTATTCTCAACCATCTTCCCAGGAACAGAGAAATAAATGGTCTAACTAAGGCCAAAATTGAAGATACAGCATATGGCCAACCACATGAAACTTTTCATTGCTGAATCTTGAACAGGAGGAGAAATCATACTGTGAAATCTATTCCAAATCAGAATACTATCTGTAGTGCAGGAACCTGGAAGAAGGGTCAAATGTTTTCATTTTTGCCTCACTGTAATTGAAGTATTTCATTTTGCCCAACTCTGGTCCTGATTCTGTCTTGCTTCAGTGACCATAAAGGACCTGAGATACAACCATCCATCCATCCATCCATCCATCCATTTATTTATTTATTTTTGCTGGATGGATCCCCAGCCTTGTCTATGAAATGACCAATCAAAGCCACCAATGCCTTTCTCTTTTTGTTCTGCCTCTTTGTATATTAAGATCATAGTTATAATGAGACACTACTGCTGGGTCTTGCTATTTTTTGAAGTTACAGAAGGGCTGCGTGCAAGTCTTTTACAATGTTGCCCTACTTTGGAAGTGTCATCTTTCTGAAAGCAATGACCTTTGTGTGTGTGTAGTTACATTAATTTTATTTTATTGTGTTTTATTCAGTGTTGCAATTGTTTTTATTGCTGAGCTTATGTTAAATCAATAGTTATAAGCTTTTTTTTCTTCATGTGGATCCTTACATTGTCATTTAATACTTTTGAGTACTATAGTATAAACAAGCTGGCTGTGAGATGCTGTGAAGAACTTGGTACCAGTCTTATGAGACCCCAATATTAATTCAATTTTATTTAGAAAAATATTCAAGGCCATCATCTTGTGGTCTCATCAAATTTTATAAGGGTTTGGCTTTCCTGTCTGAAATCTTGGGATTTGAGATTTCAAGCAAGGATGCCCAAGACTGTAGCTTCAACAAACTTGTGAGATTTTGTGTGTGTGTGCAATGGTATCCAGAACATCTTTATTTTAAATGCATGACTGCTTTTTCCTTAAACGATGATTAGTAAATTTGCCAAAATCATCAATAAATGATTTGTGGAAGGTGAGGCATAGACAAATATAAAGCAAGGAAATAGGCACATAACATCAAATAGTTAATTATAGGTATCTAGGTCCTTTTATATGCAATGACATCCAATTTTATTCCTGTAAATCAGGTATAAATACAGCAGGGAATTTATATTGTAGATTATCAAAGCTGTTAACTCACCACAATGAACAGTGTGCAGCATGGTTTTTAATCAATTTCTTCACCTTCCCCAGATGGCAGATGATGACAGTTACTTCTATGTTGGCACATCCACTGGTGATATCCTCAAAATCAATACAAAAAGCACATTGATGAGTAGTTTTGGCCCAATAAAGGATAAACACAGCTTGGTAAGTAGTTGCTGTTTTCCACCTCTTGCTTAAAGAGGGCAAAGTCATGCAGACAATACCGTAAGTATTGTAAGTTAAACACAGCAGCAGCTAAATTTCGGTGGGGGTCAGGTAAATGAAAAGAATGGTAAAATTCTAGTCATCTAGCTATGGGCAAAGCTTATGGCTCTTTTTTATGAGATATTTTTACTGGTTCATAGAATGAGCTACTTTCTGATGTAGCTGTTCTTGGACTACCTAATGGAAGTTCAGTTTGTTTTTTCTTTCCTTTTCAACTACTTGCTGTGATAGAAGGACATTCTTCATGAAATCCAAGATGTTTGGACAAGTCTTCAATTATAGTGTTGCATAATAAAACAGAAATACTAACAATTAGGGATGTCAAGGGGCTACCTTTAACCTTCAAGGAGATCGCTTGCCTATCTAATTTGACAAAGTAGACCACAACCTACTTCTTAGTAAGCTAGACAAAAGTGGAATAGATAGCACCACCACTAGATGGACTCGCAACTGGCTGACAAACCATATTCAATGAGTAGTCCTTAATGGGACTAAGTCTACATAGAGGGAAGTAAGCAGTGGGGTGCCACAAGCTTCTGTCTTAGGCTCAGTACTCTTCAATATCTTCATTAATGACTTAGATGAGGGAGTAGAAGGGGAACTTACCAAATTTGCAGATGATACTAAGCTGGCAGGAATAGCTAACACCCAAGAAGATAGGCTCAAGATCCAGGTGGATCTTGACAGACTAGAACACTGGTCCGTATTTAACAAAATGAAATTCAATGTAGAGAAAAATAAAGTCAGGCAAGAAAAACCAAAAGTACACATATAGACTGGGTGAAACCAGGCTCAATAACAGTAACTGTGAGAGGGATCTTGGAGTCTTAGTGGACAACCAGCTAAATATGAGCTAGCAGTGTGCAGCAGCAGCCAAAAAAGCTAATGCAATCCTAAATTGCATTAACAGAAGGATACAATCGAGATCAAGTGAGGTACTAATACCACTCTATAAAGCCTTAGTAAGACCACACCTAGAGTACTGCATCCAGTTTTGGTCACCACATTATAAAAAAGATGTTGAGACTAAAACATATGAAGAACGGTTACAGGAACTGGGCATGGCCAGTCTAGTGAAGAGAAAGACTAGGGGAGACATGGCAGCAGTGTTCCAATATTTGAGGGGCTGCCACAGAGAGGAAGGGATCAAGCTATTTTCTAAAGCACCTGTAGGCCAGACAAAGCATAATGGATGGAAACTGAACAAGGAGAGATTTAACCTGGAAGTAAGGATAAAGTTTCTGACAATGAGAGCAATCAACCAATGGAACAGCTTGCCCTCGGAAGTTGTGGGAGCATCACCACTTGAGATTTTCAAGAAGAGATTGGACTGCCATTTGTCAGAAATGCTGTAGGGTCTCCTGCTTGGGGGGGGGGGGTTGACTAGATGACCTACAAAGTACCTTCCAACTCTGATTATCTGTTATCCTTACTGTCAGTTCTGACTGACAGCAGTTTTCTGATAATTTTGAGGGCCAGTGTGGTGTAGTGATTAAATTATTTACTTAGGAGACCAAGGCTGTGGTCTATCTCATCCACAGAGGCTTATTGGGTAAATTTTGGCCGTTCATACACTCAATATACTGAGAAAAGTTGTGGGGAAAATATGGAAGGAGGAAGCACTTATGTATGCTGCCTTGAGCTTTTGCATGAAGGGTAAATCTAATAAATAACATTTTGCCCAAGGGCTGCTAACATTGTTATTCTTCCTTCTTTTAATTGGAAGTGCCAGAGGCCCAAGCTGAGATTTTTATATGCAGAACAGGTGATCTGCCAGTAAAATGATATTGCATAATACTTGTAATTTACAACAGGGGTGGTGGGTGTAAAGTATTATGCTCATTAGCATTTGTGAACAAATGATTAAAAAAAACCTAGCAAGCTGGATAGGTCTCGTGTCATTTTTCATATTAGTCTTGGTTTCCTTACAAGCATTCATTGAGCTGGTAAGGAATTCAGAAAGTACATTTATTGTCATTTGCCTCCAACAGTTGCAAGTTAATGTACCTCCATTGGCTGCATTCCCACTGGGAAATCTCTCCCCATTGTTGGCAAAATTTATTTATTTGTTCATTTATTTATTCCAGTTTGCACTACTGCTGCAATCTAATTGAAACCATAGCAGTTCACCCCAAAGTAAAAACATAATCAGTATCAATATCACTGAAACATCCCTGGCAAATGCATTCAAATTGAAACCAAACCACTCATAAAAACTGTATCAACCAGAATAAAATACGGACTTTGCATAACAGGCATGAACGGAAAACACAACATGAGATTTCAAGGAGAAAAAGAAAACGAGGAAGAAAATAGTGTCAGGTTCTTAAATTAAGGCTAATCTTAAGGCTAATTCAATCTCTGTGTGTGCTAATTGTCACATTTTAATGTGACATAAAAAGTCCACAAGCAGGTCTTCTTTTTCAGATGTTAAAGTCAGCAGCAAGGGATAACCTTGGATTTTGCTGGGGAAGGGAAAACATACCAGGCAGTGCCAATAATATATGATCTCTGTCATCTATACCAGAAATCTATATAGGACTAATATTATTTTGGAGTAGAGATGTATGAAATTCAGACTGGAAAAACAACAGTGGACACAGAATAAACTCTTTCTTAATCCACACCATATGGCTCATCTTAGCAACAATATGGGAAATCTTGTAATGGTTTTCTTGGCCCCATATCCAATTAGCTCATACTTCAGCTTGCTGGCTGTAAACAATTCTATTTACCTTACTCAATATTGGTTAATGGCAATTCATGTTTATTTTTTACAGTCACCATAATCCAATTTTTTTGCTTCTGAATATATTTTACCCAACCTCTGGATTCTAATCCAGATTCTAAAAGAATGTTTTTTATAAATTCTTTCTTTTCCTTTTTTAATGTTCCAAATATCCCCTTAAACTTTCTCCCATTTGTTATATTTTGTATTCTGTTCTGTCAGATTGTTTCAGTTGTTCTTCCTGATATCCAGCTTCTTTAACGAAAGGGGTCCTGAATTATCTAAGCCTTACTTAGTTGACATTTCACTCATTGCTATATATTCACTCTGGTTTTAGACTATAAACATAGTAATAGCAACAGCATTCATTTTCAATAATTCAGAGGGAGAAATAAAATCCTTTTTTTGGATGCACTTTTTAACTCAAAAGATTCAAGAATTCAGATGGGACCTGCATCCTTGGAGAGTCTTGTGTGTTAAGAGAGATAAGAAAGATTAAGTCACTGGAACAATTCAAATAATTAAATAAAGATATTTTTGTCTGAATACATAATTCAAACAGAAGCTGTCTTAATTCCATATTTATCCTACAGAAGAGGCTATGGTAACTTGTATAGAGGGGTTTTCATTTCCTAATGAAAATATTCCTGCTCACCCGCAGGTCCAGTTCAGCCAATACAAATCAAAGGTTTTGTCCTGGTGATGTACCATATATTCAAGGGAATGATATGGCCAGCAACTTGTCTGAGGTGATTTGATTTTTCCCATTTCAATAACTTCATCATTTATGCAGCAGAGAAACCAAAAGTTTTATTTAAAGAAGCTTAGGTTATTGTTCTAAGACAGTTTTACTTGCATTATTTTAACCTGCAGACATTCTCAGAAATATCTTCTGGAATCCATGTTCCATGTTCTGGATGACAAGGTGAAAGCAAAAAGTAGTTTAGGAATTTATTTCCAATTTCAGAAATTCTAAGTAGCTCACTACCGAATAGAAAAAAACACTCAGAATTTCCTAAGCAGGCCAGGATGTAATGAAAGTATAAATGACTTGTAGCACTGTTCTGGATGCTTCGGACAGCTTGTCCTTGGAAAAAGACAGAGTTTGAAACCTAAAAGTACATGCAAATGTTGAAAGGGCAAGAATAAAATCCCATACATGGTAAAATCAATAATAGCCAATAAATAAAAGCTATTTTATCATTGTTTACATCCAAGCGTGCTCCATTATTGACATACAATGTCCATTAGTATAAAGCAATGGATAAATCAGGGGTGTCAAACTGGCAGCCTGCGGGCCGGATGCTTCACACACAGGCCACGCCCACTCCAACTCCGTGAAGGCAAAAAAGTGATATGTCATGTGACATCAACATGACACGGCGAGTTTGACACCCATGGGATAAAGGCATATGCATTAGCTCAGAGATATAGGTAGTCCTTGACTTACAACAGTTTGCTTAGTGACCATTCAAAGTTACAACTGCAGTGATTCACTTAACAAATGTGGCGAGAAAAATTGTAACACGGGGCAAAACTCAATAAATTTGTCACTTAGCAACATAAATTTGGGACTCAATTGTGGTTGTAAGTTGAGGACTACCTGTATATGCATCTTATGAATCCTACCATAAACAGTGGGAAATGGGAAGACTTGGAGAACTAGTCTTGGTGGTATGTAAGCTAGCAGAAGAGTGAGAGGCTGCTGCATGAAACTTCATACTGTAATTTCCATCTTTAGTACAACTGGCTAATGATGATAGATTAGATCTTGTATTTCCAGTTAGACTTTTATATAGTTTGTACAAACTTTAACCCTTGAACTGTGTTTTAATTATGAAGGCAGATGATAATTCTTGGCCTTAGAAACTAATTATTAAGGAGGCAATGTAATATATATTTATAATAGAGTGAGCCATTAACATATTTTCTGAATAGTCCAGCACATGCAACCTATGAATATATACAGCACATGCATACCTCAGGTATCCTTTGGAGACAATTCATGCATATTTGAGAGTGATTAATATAGCTTATTGAAGTATAGAAGAGAAAAAGAACAGAACATCACAGCTGAGCTCCATGAGAAAACACAATTCTCCACACACAACTTTCAAATTATTTTTTAATATTTCTTGCCTGGTTTCCCCTGAATTAATAACCCAAGACACATTAGTTGAAATTATTACAGGCAGAAGACCTATTTTAAAGAAGTAAATCACGGAATGGAATACTAAAAAAAACAAAAAACTTAACTGTATAACTGACCCTCCTTCTTCCATAAAAATAGCAAGCACTAGATGAGGAGAAATTTAAATGGGTTTCTTAAATTTGTAATTCATCTATTCTGCATTATTTTCATAGCTGTTCTAACTTATTTTTAGTATGAGAAACTGCACCAATATATGCTGAAAGAAACAAATGAAAGGAAAATAAGTGACTTTGTTCCTCCAAAGGCTATGTGTTCAATGCAAAAATGATTGAAATTGCTCAATCATAATTCTTATATGGGTGTTTTGATCTCTGCAAAGAGATGGACAATAAGTGGCCATTTATTATGTTCTGCTCCTCAGATAATATTATGTTTCAGTGGATCTAAAAAACCATTGGTAGGAGATGAATGTTGAATTTTATCTGCAGTTTTTATAAGAAGCAACAGGAAAAAATTTCAAGGTGTGAAAAGTGATGCAAATCAATCCATGAACTCATATGCAGTGTTACATAACACAACATTGATATAAATAAGTGCATTTATGTAAAGCTGTTGAATATATTGTATAATATTCAGCTGCTGGTTTAGGCATGGAAGTGTATCACTAAGGAATTCATGTAATTGGTTATTCCAAACTATATACTTCTAGAATTGGCAGAGTTCATTATATAAATTTCAAATGCCTAAAAATTATAGACATTTGACTGTGAGATGCTGGCTTTCATCCATTACTGAAAATGTGTTTTGATGATCTGAAAAGAACATATGTGAGATAACAAAAGTCATTCAAATGCATAATGGATTTCTTTTGCACCCCTAATACTTATTATAATCCACTTTTATTAAAATCATTGGGATTTTGTCATTACATTAGTGGAAGGTACAACACTAAGACAGTGAGTTTTTGTGTAACACCACTACTTAACTAGTGGAAAACACAGATGGATGAAAATAAGTTTAATAATTGCTAAGTTTTTATATTATGGTTAGCTACAGTGTAGTTTGATTGTAAGTTGGGCTAATGACTAAATCATGGCTTGTTTTAAGAAAGTAAACTATTGTTTAGAATCAAGATTATTTTGAGTTTATAGAGCATAATTGTGGCTTAGTGTTGAGACATATTATAAGATGTATGGTTTACTTATAATTTCTTGGCTTATTCCTCGTCTGTTTTTATGTCATGCCCAGACTTTTATAGAACTGTGAAACAATAACAGCTACAAAGCAAAAAAAAAAAAAAACCAACCAAAATCAAGAATTGGCCAAACAAATACTGATAATTTGCTTTTGCCTTATTCAACAAACCATGGTTAAGGAAACATAGCTTAGTTCAAAGTGTAAATGCAGAATGTAAAGACATGTAATCCATCTCTTGAAATTATACCCTTTAAATGACTATTCAGTGTAAATCTCGTGATCATTAAAATCTTTGGAGATCAGTAAAATAAAAATAAAACTTTAAATACTGACTACTTACCTTAGTTACTCCCATGGAAAGGAAATGACCATTTGCTATGAAAAGAGGTTTATGGAGGTGTTTACATTATGTTAAACCACTTGAGTGAAAGTAATTAGAATATGGGATGCAGAGTTTCATTTTCCTGCAGGGAAATAAGTGAGCTTCATTTTGCCTTGGAAGATGTCCTTTGCAATCAAGGCTAGGATTTCTTCGTGTAACAAGTAAATAATGAAATAAACATTAAACCTTCCAGCAGGCTTTATGTTTAAGTCGCAAGGGGCACAATAAACTACAGTAGAAAGCAAAGCACTGCATCACTGCTATGAGTTGCTGAGCATTATCAGCATTACAGATTATATAGCTGCCTGTCTATTAGCGATGTGTAGGGCAACCTTGCAATCAATCTGTTGGAAGTAGATTTTGTTGGAAAAATGATCACTTAAGTATATTTTTTAATCAAATCAGGAAAAAAAAACTTGCATCCAAGTTATTTAAAATTGGTATGCCTAGGACAGTTAAAGCTGTCCTAGAAACGTAGTCCAAATCTGTCAATGGAGAACTACTTAGTTTATCACCTGTTACACCTTTACAAGCTGTAAAGGCATTTCAAATTTACCTGACTACTGTGCTGCAGTGGATTGAGACAGAGTAGATGGGCAGTTGATAGCTTAGAGATTTGTAAAGCATGGTTGATCCCCCTAAGAAAGATTTGTGTTCAAAGATAATCCTGCTGCTGGATAATTGCTGAAGGAAAAGAGCATTCCTCATCAGACTATTAACACAAAAGCTGACTTCCACCCTAATGCACGTAACCTCATGTGAACATGAACACCTGTTCATTTTAAAAGGGCATTTCCATAGCAGAATTTTAAAGAGATTGTCCTTCACAGGCATCCCCTTGATGATACAGTGCCGTTATAGGTGGTCCTTTGCAATATAACGGAGTAGGTGATGATTAAATAGGCTGGGTAAAAGTGTTAAATGTACAGTAGTTGGAAAGAATGGAAAGCTATTCAGTTCAGCTAGAAGCATGGAGTGTTACTGATATCTAATTTGCTAAATTTGTGGATACTGAAGGAATTCTGTTGCTGAAAATAATATCTTGTCAAAAAAGTCAAGACGATCAGGAAGGAAGGAAGCTCATTGTGAGTGCTATTTGCTAAGATAGCTTTGGAAAGGATAATTGGAGGCAACTTATAAACAAGTACTGAGATAAATTGATTATTAAACTGATTTGGAAAATTATGTTTAAAAGTATATAATGACAACAATTTTTATTTAAGTAACTATAATGTAGACTTTGTCATTATCATCTACCTTTTTTTTTCAGTTCAACTCTATTCAGATCCTTTCTATTCATTTCCAAAAGCTAATAAAACATAATGCTGTTAGTGTATTGTTTGCAGCTTGTGCGTATGTTATCAAATAAAAATGCTACATCTGAAATCGTGCACAGACAAATGATAATATAGTGTGGCTATCTTTACTCACAAGCTTCTAGTACCTGTACAATGCCTGCTTGGAGATGCAAGTCACAATACAAAATCAGTCATGTTCAACCTTACATTCTACTGGTTTGTACCTTTCATCACTCTAAAGCTAGTAGGGACAAAGTGTTTGGGCTTGGTGAACATACAATTCACATTTGGAGAGTACTAGTTTGAGAAAGACTAATAAAGACATTTCTACAAGAACTAGTGGACACATTTAGGAGTGTTCCATGATCTTTCACTCTCCTTTGTTAACCTATTTTCCTTATGCACACTAGATTTATACAGCTGATTAAGTGAAATGGTTGAACAAGTGGCTAGAACTGGTGCCAATAATTTGAAGCTAAAATAAGATGGAAGTATTTGGATAAGAGGGCCAGTCAAGAGACTGAATTTCAACTTCTTTTGAATCAATCATGCTCCCTTTAAAATATTAAGGTTGCAGAATGTGAGCCCTCAGAGATTTAGATGTTATTGAAGGTCCATCAAAGTATCTTTCGCCAGCTACAGCCTCTTCTGGATATAGACTGGCCACAACTAACTTCTGTTGAGATATTTTCTGCAAGTTAAAGTTAGGACTTCTTTTTGGACAACTGTCCAGAAACTGCTGAGCTAGCTGGGGCTAACTGATTAGAGCAATCTTGCCAGGTCTAGATTGAAAACATCAGTTCCTTGCTTGTTAATACAGTTTGAAATCTAGACATTTTAAAGTCCACATGCTATCTCAGCCTGGCCATATATTGGTTTCCTGATGGTTTCTCTCCATGAGCTTTTGTCATCCATGGTAAATTCAGTGGGAAATGGGAATAGGGCCTCCATAATTTTAGCATCACTTACTCTACACTACTCCCATTCCTAAACACATCTATTGGCTCCAATTTTAATTTTGTTTGAACTAAGTTTTGTATTTGTATGAATTGATAGAAAGTTTTATTCAGCAGTGATTGTGGTGCCATCAGAAATCTTAAAGCATGATGTTCATAATTTTGCCTATTATACCTTTCAAAAATTTCCTGATACTTGATCTTTCACATAACTTTGGAGGAAGGTGGTATTGGTAAAAAGACACATTTCATTACGCACACGTACAATGCTTTCCACTAGTGCAAAATTACCATTTGAAAGAACCTGTTGTATTTATTAGGTTTTTATAAGTCGTTCTGTGAATCTGAGTTCCCTAAAAGTCAGTAGTGCATTAAAGATAAAGATCTAAACATCTTTCTTTTTCGGATATCTTTATGTCCTTCTAAGATGACTTAGTGCTATTCTGTGTGTGCTTATTCACTCTTGGTTTATGAATTTTTATTTTAAGTGACTTCTATACATAAGCTTGAATGTAATCAAAGGTGACATAAATATTGCAGAAATATGTATATCCATCCATCTGAAAGATAAAATAGATAGGTACTCATGAAAATTCACGCCATATTGACTAATCATTTGGTCACTTTCCTTCAGCCTCAGTCTTTAACTAAGTAAGATGATTACTGTTCAGGATGGTTAAATTTGTCTTAGAGAATAGCTATAGAAGCATGCAATTTGGCATGAAGTATATGCATGCTTAGCTTTAGGGAATGACAGATCTTTTGTGTGACATATTTGTACAACAAGATAACAAAACGGTTAGCTGATCTCAATAGATTTGATAGAAGATTACGGATCAAACAGTAATCTCAGTTGCTTACTGTACATGCCATCTTCGTGAGCAAGAGGAATACTATATTGAATTAAGCTGTCAATGTATATAAATACAGTAATTTGTTTAGCATCTAAATAAGTTAAATGTCTTCATCTTGCCTTTTCTTAGGGAGTCACAGCTTTGCTTTTGCTGAAAGTGGGTGACTTGGTCATTGGCACTGGAGCTGGAATCTTAGCCCTTTGCTCGGGATCCAAGTACAAAATAATCAAGTGAGTTTCTTAATTTTCTTGGGCCATAACATTATTATGCACAAGGTACATACAATGAAGAGAGTGGGTTATTTTGAGTCCCTGGAGAGATCTGTAAGTGTATGAGCCACCTTATCCAAAGCCTTGATAGGCTTATGCTGACATACAAACAGAGAGGAGAATGGCATTTTTTTAAAAATGTCCCTTCCAGGGAAATTGTGCATAATAGCTTCAGGGATAACATACATGCTCTTTCCCTGCTCCAAGTCAGAGACATGTGGGATCTAAAGCACATTTCAGTCCTGCTCTCTTTATGCTTTTGTTGATGTTAGAACTGTAAGGTATGGATGCCATAGGGTCTAAGATGAAATACATTAGCTATATCTACCTGAGGAAGGGGAGATTTGATCATTCCTGGGGTACATGGGACATTCTTCAACAACAGAGGACTGCAATTTTGGAGACATACAGGGCAAAAAATATGCCAAAGAGCACAGCATGATATAATTGCTAATTTAATGTAATGTCTTTCAGCTCAAAAATTCATCTCTGAAGTACCAGTTTAACATGCACGGATGATAATTGTGCAATAAATAAAGCAATCTCAATGAATAGACTATTTAAAGTATTAGCAGTTCTTTCCTGAGATGTCAAAATTATTTTTTAATTCATGAAATAGCATTAATAAAAGAGGAGAAAATCCACATGATAATTACACTCTAACCTTTAGATTTAAAAGTAAAAGTGTATTTAGCTCAGTGGTTAGAATGCAGGATTGTAGGCTAATTCTGCCCACTGCTAGCAATTTGATCCTACCGGCACATGGTTGAGTCATCCTTTCACCCTTCCAAAGTTGGTAAAATGAGGACCTTGATTGTTGGGGGCAATATGCTGACTCTGTATACCGCTTAGAGCGCGGTAAAGCACTGTGAAGTGGTATATAAGTCTAAGTGCCATTGTTATTGCTAAAATATTCCTGGATTGCTGAGATTGCTAAAATATGCTATCATTGAAGGAAGAAAAGTTGTGGGGGAAAAATCCTAGACCGAGTCCTCAGAAACCCATTTGTCTTTTGTGCAAATCTTTTGTTTTACAGAAAAGTTCAGTTGGAAGGTGCTATCACGTCCATTACACCACGAGGCCAGGGCCACCAATTTTTTGTGGGCACAAATGAGTCACAGATTTACCGATTCTCATATTCTGACTTTAAGGATGAGCTCATAGCCACTTGCCATAATGATGCTATCAGTGATATAATTTTCCCATAGTAAGTATAAGTCAAAGAATTTTTCTCTCCTGTTCGAATGGAAAAGGCATTGAATGTGTGGTAGTTGTAATAGTTTTCATCTAGGAGGCTAAAGATGTGCTTGAGTAATCCTTCCCCTTAATTTACAAGAAAAATAATAATAAATGGCATTAACTAGCTAGTGAACTTTAGTCACTTGGAGACTCTAGCTATTTGGAAGATGCCAAAAGCAGAACAAATTATAGAATTTGTTGCACAGTTTGATGCTTTTGTAGTTTTTCCACTTTTCAGTGGTTACAGTATTCTGCTTTTTGTATCTGTTCACATAAATTCTGCCAGTAAAATATTCAGAACTATATTATGCGAACTTATCTTTCACATTTATTTTGATGATATTTGAACTGATGTGTTCAGTAAGAAAATAAAACCATTTTCCCAGGAGAAATATAAGTATTTTTACTTAAAATCCAGAAATAGTCTTCACATACACGATTGGTGATTTCCCCCCAATCTCCCCTGATATTCATGGATCTCAGAACTCTAAGTATGTTTCATTAAAAAGTAAGAGGATTTGAAAAGAAATATAGTGGATGATGAACGAATCGAAAAATAACATGAGTGTAAAAAAGACATGTTTTGCTGGCCTTATTTGATAAAACTCCCTTTCAATCTGTCTTACTACTTGATTTCAAACATTTTAAATCATCAGTATGCTTCTGTTTTCTTACTTTATGTAAAATTTGATATATACGTCACACGATTCTAGATTCTATCTATTCCACATGATTTTACAATTAGATTTACAGACAGTGTTAAGAAATATGTGTATGCTTGTGTGTCAATAATTTTTTTCTTTGTCATAATCCCCAAAATAATTTGGGATGTATCTTTCCAAATTATCATTTAGATCAAAATATTAAATTCCCTCATTTTTTAAAACAGCATGTAGATGATTCTTACAGTTGCAGTTTGTACTTATTTATTTTGTGGATGCTTTTATTGTTTTAATGTTTCTGATTTGTTTTAATTGTTTTATGTTTTTAGAATTGTAAGTCTCCCAGGGTCACTTGGTGGAGTTGGGTGGCTATAGAAATTGAATAAAAATAAACAAATAAATGACAAACTGACAGGTAGAACTGCATTGTTTATAGATAAGGTATGCTTGCCATTGTTTAAATCATCTTGATTAAATCATTCTTGAGCCAGATTGGATCAGTTGACCAAAAAAAAGAGCTTACAAATAGCTGAAATCTGCTCAGTTGGCCGACATTTATTTATAGATACAAGTACTCCTCAACTTATGACCACAATTAGGTCTGGAATCTCAAGTCATTCAGTAAGTGATCATTAAGCAAGACGCCCATGTGACCACTTCACTCAACGACTGCAATCCCAGCACTTACCTAGGTATCATTAAGTGATCTCCTGGGTTGTTAAAGAAATGGAGTCCCAGGTAAACATTGTGCTATGCGTTGGGAGAATGGGGGAGGCTCTGGAAGGCCTTGTTCCTGTGGCTTAGCAAAGGATTTCCCCTCCATTTTCCTTGCTCTTCAGGATTTTAACTCTGTTCCTACAGCCAAATGAAGGATTTCCTCCCAGTGGAGGGAAGAGAGAAGAAATTCTTTATTAAGCTGGGAATCTCATATCTGGGATGGGCCCCAGCCCAAAAGAGAATAGCATAGTAGATATGAATGTCTGAATTGGTATATATTATATACAAGTGAAGGCTGCTTGATTCAAAGCTAAGATTGAAAACATTTATTAAATTAAAAGGAGTTAGGAAGATCTATCAGATAACTATGGTGAAGAGAGAATTACAGTGCCTTCAAACCTGGGTTTCCTAGCAATACTGAAACTCCTTGTTATAGAACAGGGCTGTCAAACTCGTGGCCTGCGGGCCGGATGCATCACGTGCTGGCCACGCCTGTCCCTGTTTTAGCAAAGGGTGGGGGGAAGTCCTGATATGTGTCGACACAAGTTTGACATCCCTCTTACAGAGGCTTTCAGTCCATGAACTTATTAGAATTAGAGGGGTTGTGTGTTCTGCAATCAACTTCAAAGCTGTATTTCAGCAAATGGTTTTAGGTTCAAAAGCTTGGGTAGAGAATGTATTAGGCTGTTTTCCTTGAAGGAACCATCCAATTCTTGCAGTACTATTCCAGAGTAGACCAGAATTGTCTTTATCTAGCAGTAATCCAGCTCAATGGCTTTAGGTTCTCATGCCACCTAGAAAGTGAGGCAGGCACTACTGCATTTCCTGGAGGGAGCCCTGAAGATGATGTGGGTGAAACTATTCAGAAAATATGCAGAAGCGTGCCTTGAATCCTGGAAAAGAGAAATTATTAGGCACTCAGACTGGCTTTTCACTGTCTTCCTATGGAATAAGAGGAAGGAGAAATGTGGGTCTAATTTGCAACATTATTATATTCTAACTCATTAAAGCATAGTTCTAGTCAAGACAACTTCAAAAGGCCAACAGTATCGTATCCTTTGCCTTCCAGAGGTAAGGATAAAAATGTGTGACATTTACCTTGCTATTAATTTCTAAATTATTATGAGAGTATTCTTTGGTTTCAAATATGCTAAAAGGAGCCAGATTTCATTCCTCAAATTAAAGCAGTTTTAAAGCAACTAATATACAGTTATCAGTTGCTTTATATATGATTATGAAACTCATATTTTAGCTGGAATCAAACTTCTCAAGTTTCTTGAATTTTCAAAAAAATCTGGGTAAAAATCCAGTAGTTCTGTCATAACAAGGTCTATTGTAATTTTTATATGTTGTAATTTAGTTATTGAGTTTCAATAGTAAATTGCTAAATGTAGAAGCAGCAATAGCCAGGTCTGTGCCTTCAAATTTTAATTTTTTTGCATCCTGTAGTGGTACATCTGACTTGTTTGCCACATGCTCCAAGAATGATATTCGTGTTTGGTATACACCTGAAAATAAGGAGCTGCTACGGATTACGGTCCCCAACATGACTTGTCATGCCATAGATTTCATGCGTGATGGCAAAAGCATCATTTCAGGTGAAAACATTTTAGAATGTCTGGCTTATTGAAGGATTGTATCAATCATGAATTCTTCTGTTTTAAGTAGTTATTCTGTCACTAACCAAAACTATTAAGGTCAGTCCAGCATTTGCTAAGTTCCTAGAGTTCTGCAAAATGGTTGGGCTTCATTAAGAGAAATGAAGATTGCAGGATAGGGATGAACCACTAAATTGAACTGTAATTCTCAATTTCATAACTTGACGTCATGAACTGCTTAATCCCCGCTGGCTTGTACTGTGCAGCCTTGTTCAATTAAATAGAAATTGCTGAGGCTCACCTCATGCTAAGAGATAAAATATGCTTTATCCATCATCTACATATTTTTTCTTAAAAGGAGTAGGTTTCCCAAATTACCTGTTCTTGAAATTGAAGAATCAGCTGTACTGACCACTGAGTTACAGAAATCTTACTTTAGGAGAGAGAAAAAGAAGAGACGTTACTCTTAGTAAACTCCTTTTATTTTGTGTTAGCTTGGAATGATGGAAAAATCCGTGCCTTCACCCCAGAAACTGGGAGGCTGATGTACGTGGTCGAGCATGCTCATAGTATGGGTGTGACAGCTGTGGCTACCACAAGTGACTGCAAAAGAATAATCAGTGGAGGTGGTGAAGGTCAGGTAAAGAGCCCCCAAACTTTATGTGCCTTGCAGACTTCATCAACATGTATGTCTTTCTGCTCTGAATATAATATTAAATTATAATTCAGGCATGCTAGATACAACCTGAGTAGTGACTATTATTAAATATATTTCCGTGCTGCTGCAATAAAAATCAGCAATGGATTGGTCACATAAATAAATACGAAATATAGCATTTTCATTAAAAGAGGGTGAGGGATATAAGTTAATGTTTAATGCTATGGTTTGACAATAATTGATTTATATTTATGTGCCACAAATTATAATCCACAAATATCAAAATCTATGAATTGCAAGATTCTTCAAATTTCATTTTGGCATGAATACTAAATAATGTTTCTATTAGGTGAGAGTATGGGAAGTTGGGAAGGAAACACGCAAACTAGAAGAAGTAATGAAGGAACACGTATCTGCTATTTCTTGCATCAAGATAAAGAAGAATAATCAGGAGTGTGTCACAGCTAGCACTGATGGAACATGCATTATCTGGGATCTTGTGTAAGATCACTTTTGCATAGAAGTATGGCTCAGTTATACTACTGAGTTAAATTCCTTTTTCATAGAATGAATAATTGGATCACAGACAGAGGCCAGATCTGGGCATATCGTGTGACAGTCCCTATGCTTTCATATGTATTAGAAACTTAGAGACTTAATTATTTCCTTCATCATAGATCAGTAGTAAATATGAAGTTGCTTTGGGTTAAGATTGATTCCTGAATGCATCCATGCCGTTTTCCTAGCATGATAGAGAAGCAGCATGTTTTTACTGTGTTCCTAAATATTTGTTCAACTTCTTATATTAGGGTACAGCTGTGGCTCTCTAGAGGGTTTCCCCCATCCAAATATTAATCAAAGCTAACTCTATTTAGATTTTAGATTAGTCAAGATATTGATTTTACATTGAGAGATGTTTGTTTTGTGTTTTTGTTTCTTTTTGACTGAGGCAAAAATAATAGAGCAACTCCTAGGGTCAAGGTATTTAGTTAAATGTAATTTCAGAAGTTGATTTTTTTCCTCCTAGCCACTTCATGAGACGGCAGATGATATTGGCCAATACTTTATTCAAATGTGTATGCTATCACCCTGATGAACATCAGCTTATCACAAGTGGCACTGATAGAAAGGTAAAAAACTGCTGCAATCCAAGAAAATTTTGGCAGTCTGGAATCTATTGGAGTTGGATAAAAAAATTGAATAAATAACAACAAATCATGCCTAGTTGCGTGACTCCAATTATTGAAATTAATCACTGTAGAAAAGTAGTGTTCTATGACTTTCCTTTATTCAATTTTATTCTGGATTCTAGATTGGTTACTGGGAAGTGTTTGATGGATCTCCAATCAGAGAATTAGAGGGCTCCCTTTCTGGTTCTATCAATGGAATGGATATTACAACGGATGGATTGTTTTTTGTGACTGGTAAGGTGTTTTTTTTAAATCAAACATTTTGAATATACAGTATTTTATCTCTCCCTACTGATAGGGTCTCTCCTTCTCACAGCAAATAGAACATGGAATGGAGACCATCCAAAGAAAACACCATTGGCTGATTGGAGACAAAAACTGAAACTTTCTCTACCACATCTTGCTGCTAACTATAGTTCTATGCCTGCTACTAAGCAGAGTGCTTGCAGTTTTACATAGTCTTCTCTCTTCTTTATACCACAGGAGGTGATGACCATCTAGTAAAAGTGTGGGATTATAATGAAGGTGAAGTGATTTCTGTTGGGATTGGTCATAGTGGCAGCATCACCCGCCTGAAGATCTGTCCTAACAATAAATTAATTGTGAGTGTCAGTGCTGATGGTGCTATCCTTCGTTGGAAATATCCTTACATTTGCAATCCTTAAAAATATTTGCTGCCTCTATTGCTTTTTTTTAAAGGTTGCCTTTTAATAATTGTTGAACTTGGTACTGTTTTTTAAGAGGCATCATTAATTGGTCTGTTCAGAAGTAAATTAGTCTGAAAAAGACACCAGTTTATTATTACCATTGTTTCTATTGGTTTCAATTATTTAATTATATGACATTTTGGTATATTTGTACTATGTTTATAATGTATGATGTCTGAAATGTTAGCTAAAATACATTGTCATGCTTTCTCCTTCCCAGTGAATTAGAATTTGTACAAATCTATTGTGTAAGCATCTTTAAATCTCATTCATTAAAAAGGCAAAAGACTTGGGATCATAAAAGCTTTACATTTGGAACAAGTTTGAATATATATTGATTCAGTGATGCAGTGCTTTAATGATTGTGAATCCCAGCAATCTCTGTCCAGAGAGGAATATTTAAAAATTCTTTATAGTGAGTTAGGTCTTCAGTTCCTCCAGTTGTAGTTCAGTCAGGAGTCTTTCACAGACCTACAACCAGCCTCTTGCATGCACTGCCTGTATTGTATTGTACAACTCTTTCTCCAGGTGAGTCCCTATTCTGTATTTTCCCTCATCTCCAATAAATAGGAGTAAAGTAGCAGGATGTACCTGTTCAATTGTTATTTCACTCTCCCGCTCAAAATAGAAAGAATACTGGAAAACAGTGCAAGACGAAATGCTGGAAACAAATTGCAACATGCACTTATTTTGGATGGGGAAAAATTCTTGACATTTCCCCAGTTAACTGCCAAATACTCTCTATGAGGTAGTTAACATTTGCCTACAAATATGATTTAAGCTTAACTAATTCAAAGCAATTTGTCTTCAGTGGTATAATTAAGTAAGCAAAGCTCTGAAAGGTCTTGCTATTTTACACAGGGTGAAAGACTATGAACCTGTCATTTTTGACATATATGACGATGCCTGCTTGCTGTGCCATTTCCAGTTACAAAGGACCATCTATATGACATACAGTAGCAAGCTTCTGAAGAGTTCTTCTGGATCATCTATCACACCCATTAAATGTTGTAGAGAGGGAGTTGCAAATTAATCATTCTGATCTGACTTAAACTATACAAATCAGTTTTTATTTGGTTTCTTTAAAACAAAAGATGTTCCTGAAATCTTTCTCTTGATTCAGAAGGTAGTGTTCTAAAATAAGTTTTTTACAGACATAAGCTGTATTTGCCTTGATATTTTTTTTATTCTGCCTTCTGCAACTCTTGGATCATTGATATAATGGATGGACTTATAGCCATCAGAAGGGAGGAAGCATTTTATTTTTCCTCATATGAAGAATAATCTAGGCCTTAGGCAAGGTGCTGTACGTTCTTCTAAGAGAGGTGTGAGGATATAGGTGAGCACTTTTGAATCCTCTTCTTGACATCTAGACATTTTGACATCCCCTTCTTGACATCTTGACAGTTGATGTCAAGGGAAAGAAAACTAACCTCCTTCATTTGACGTGTTTGCCATTTGAAAGATTTAATCTCTCACTGGAGTGCGATAAAGAATTCTGCCATTTAGTGAGGTTTTCTTGTAATTTTAGTGGCTTGTGGATAGAAGCTTCTTCATTCAGAGTCAGAAGCAGTCTGCTTGAATGGCAAATTTCAGAAAGGGTGGTATTTTCCTTATACCACACAAAAGTCATTTGTGTTGTGACTTTACAGATGAGTTTCCAGCATGCATTGGTCAGTTATTCTGATGCTATGCCTCAGAGGCAAAAAATAATTAAACATGAATGTCCCTACAAGTATTAATACTATCTTAGTTAGCTAATTTATATTTCTACTTAAAGGTCATAGTTTGATGAAAACAACTAGTCCTGTGGCAAGTTGACAACTGCACTTTTCAGATCATCTCTGATCAATTCAAGCACATTTTCAGTGGAGGCTGCATTTGTTCTGTTGCTACATATGTATACAAATCCCAAAGCCCTTAAATTTGGCTCTGTCTTCTTTTATCAAGGAATATCTTTGTAATCCTTTTCCTTCCCATAAGTCACACATCATATTTCAAGGAAACGGGATTGGCTTGAGTGGGAGGGAATATAAATAACTTTCAGTTTATGTTCTTTCTAACTAATTTGGGATTAATTTCCAACTATCTGTGTGATAAAGTATGCTGGCCAGAGATAGCCTAGGTGCAAAAGTTCTTACCCCATAAGAACCCAAATTTCTATTCCAGAAGAGTATGTGCATGGTTTAAAGGGGGGGAAATGGCCTGCAAAGATCAGGTGACCAAATTGAACAGATGACAAAAAGCAAATTATCTGCTGCCTCTTCAGATGCCCATTATATTTTTGACCAGGAGAGCATGCACTTCAACAAGTTTTCCTTTTGTTAACCAAAGAGCAGGATGGAACCCTGATAGGAAGAAAATATGGAGGGAGGAGCACCACCATGCTATTTCTAGTACCAGCCAAGGCATCCACTAGACTAGAGGGCAGTTAAACACTTTTTTATTTCTTGTGGATCTTAATATAATTTTCACAACTGTAAATTCACTGTGTCATATAACATTAATTTTACTTACTGAAATCTTTAGGAAAACTATTGTTTGTACGCCAGTCTGCCATTTGGCTTTTTCAAATTCTTGCCTTCTCAAGAATATGTTCAGTTGATGTTATTCTGATTAATTCTTGGCATTTATACACAAACTGTTCATGTTCCACCCCTGAAAATACATGAATTCTAACAGGAAAGAAATGACAATGACAGCTTGCTGTTAAAGAAAAGTATTAAGTCTTTTTCTCATAATGCATTGGTTAGCCTTGGGCTCCCCCATGGCATTAGCAGTGTAGGCAGCGTGGGATGAATTGACTAAGGATACATCTAGCTGCAGGATTATTGTCTACAATGAAGGCAGGACTATAATGTCATATAATAGTATTTGGAGAAGCTCAATGAGTTAGGGGAAGGGTTATTAGAGCAAATCCATTCCATGGAATTGGCATTCCATTTTTCCATCTGTGCATTATAGGGCAGCCAGCACATCATACATGGATTCTAGCTACTTGCTTCTGAAGGGGTGAGCACAGAACTATGCTAGAAAATGCATGCTCTGTAGAGCTGAACAGCTGGGTCCCATCCATATTCATCACAGGCAAAGAAAATCACCCTAAACATAATGCATATGTTACCACAGCAGAGAGGGTAACTGTGCAAGCAGCCGACCTTTCATGTTGAAAAATCAGTGGAGCCTGTCCATGGCAGTATGGTGAATTGACAAAAGTAGTGCTTGCTTGTCTCTCTGCCTTTCCTACTTCTACCAAAGCCGTTTTTAAAAGGGAATTACTAAATAGCCTGCTTTATTGTATATAATTTAACCATCCCAGAAAGCTTTAACAGGAAGGGGAGAGACTTCTGCAAGTATTTGCTTCGGTTCAAGCAATTCTTCTCTGTTCAGATATGGGTCTGAATTATTAGCAGGCTGCTGCAAGTTCTGCTGTTACTGCCTCTGGGCCAACAACTCTCTTAAGAATGTGATAAATGTAAATTCCATTTGCACATACTGTAGCTGCAGAGAATGTGATTTTAAGAGTACTCTTCCAGACATAATTGACTAAGTTCCCTTCATCCACCAATCCTGGCTTGAACAAAGATACAGAGGTTAATCTTGTTATACTTGGCTCACCTATATAATGAAGTGGGATGCTCTGTTCATATGGTGGATATAAAGAAAGCTACTGGGACAGTTTAGAACGAAGCTGGATTGCATCTGTTGTAAAAGAACCCTGTGGATGAAACCTATTCAGTGCATCTCTGCTAAATTAGAAATTCTAGATGCTGCTAAGAGATATGAAAGGAGCTTTCATCAATCAGTAATCAAAATGATATTTAAAATAAGGATGGAACGAAAGAACAAAACAAACAACTCAATTTCTGCAATACAGATCAATGTGTTCTAATGTTCAAGGTTGACTGTTTAAGGCTTACAGGTAGACATAGTAATGGAGAGAGTGCATCTTTAGTAGATTCTAAAGAGATGGAAGAATTGCGTCAGACACTGCACAGGAAAGTGGGGAGGGAGTCTTCAACCTTCCAGTGTGGCTTGTTTGGGATACCATAATCAGTGGTGATTCATCAAAATCAACAGAGTGGTCCTGTTTTATGCTGAACATCATCTTTAACTTCAAAGTCAGAAACAGTAAATGGGCAATTTAGCAGGCTGAGATGAGCAGAAAGCAAATGTTAACTTTCACAAATGGGGAAAAAATAACCCCTACAAAAAACCTTACACCCTGCTCCATATTCCAAAGAAGCCTCAGACTACATCACTTAACCCTTTCTGCGAAGGTCCAATTCTGCTATCCATAAATACATAGCTAAAAGAGAAAAAAGCAAATGACAAAAGATTTCTAGAGGTTAGGCTGCTTAGTGTTTTGTGAAAGAAAAAAAATGGAATGACAAATTTATTTTTAAACGTCTCTCAAAAATCATGCTTGACTTCAAATCACTACTTATATTGTCTTATATATATTTAAATATATTACTTGGAATCTTCAAAAAGAACTTGAGGAATATCTGCATTTATATCCAGTATGTTTTAACCTGGGCGTTAATGAAAATGTTTCTGCTGATTTTGAGATATTCATGAAAATTCTGTATCTTAGGAATGTAGACCTAGATATTGATATGCATCTGGTAGGAATCTCTAGGAATGAGAAGAATAATTCACTATGTCTGCTATACTGCCTGATGAGGTCTAACCTCTATGGACAGAGCTTTTTGCCCACAGGTAAAAAAAAAAAAAAAAGGTAAGTGTCAAAATAGAAAGCTGGGTGCAGCTTTAAGTAGCTGGCTAGTTTGTATCACTACCCAGTACATTAAAAATACACTTTTTTGTCTCAGTCATTTGGGAAGTTGTTCATTAAATTCCATTAACATCTATATTTTATTTCACAAAGATAAAGGTATTTGATCAGAATAGTTTACTGCTTGGTGGTAATATCACTTTCCCCCAATATTTTTGTTTTATTTT